CTGAATGTTTGTATCTAATGTTTTTTTCTAGGCATAATATTGTAAAAACTGAGACTACCACCAGACTTTTACTGAATTAACAATCATTGGAAGAAATTAAAATCAATATTAGTTTTACAAGGTGGTCTTCTTACAAGAAATACCTGAATAATCTAAACAAAGTAGCAAATACTGAAGGGTTTAGTGTCTCAAGTATATTTATATTTAGGTTTTATATTTTTGCTTCCAGTTAGATATTTTTATTTGCCTGTTATTTTTTCTGTATTGTGTGCAAAATAGGAAATTGAATTCTGATACCCAAGACAGAGAGTTATGTTCTCTACAATCATCTTATCTAATACTTTATCTCAAATAAATACTTGATTAATTTTGATTTTAAATAGATGAACAGAAAATCTTAGCTACTCTATTGATATAAATGCTCCCACAAAGTCTGTAAAAAAAGAATTAAAAAAGCATTATATTTCTGTAAGTGACTTCATGTCCTCTGACACATGTATAGGCTGAGAAATTCCTATATGTACTGCTGTGTACTCAGACACAGTGTCTCTACCAAAGTTAGTTTTTCCTACCTGTATCTTGCAGAGATATTTTGTCATTTACAGATACAGACATAGTTCAGTGAGTATTTGTAGAGTATGGGGCTCTTGAAGAAGCAGGCAATTCACCTTGGGATAGTGCTATTGACAGGTGAAAAAGCCTTTCCACATTTGGAGAATGATGACTCAAGAAGGACTGTAAAAATATGCTAGATTTAAAGACACATCATCTACATTTATGATGTTTATGTTAAAAGAGTAAATGGACAAAACGATTAGATTTCATGTGATGGATCTAGACCAGTCTGAGGTGGAGGAGAGAGGGAGCCAGGAAGTAATTAATTGATTTATTCTCCTGTTATTGAAACGTTGTTATTTCAATTTTATGTTATATACAGAAGTTCTAGGTAAATGCTGTTTATTTATTTATTTTTAAATTGTTAGTATTTTGATTCTTTATAAACATGCACACATCTACACACATTTTATGTAACGAAAATCAATATATTTTAACATGTAGATGCTTTAATATATATATACTACATATTTAGCAATATAACAATTAATTTCAGAATGATATTATTCAAAATAATGCCAAAGGCTAGTAAATTATTTTATAGGTTGGATATTTTAGGCTTAAAATAAACAAAGGCCAACAATTTTTTTTGTTTTGGCTCTTCCTGAATGCCAAATCTCAATCTACATTTTTAGTTGTGTCTTCAGAGAAATTGGTTTTAGAACAAAGACTTTCTGTAAGAACCCAATAAGTTTTTATATGAACAAGGAATACAAAGTTCATTTAATTTAATGATTAATTTCATATCTTTGTATCAGATTCTATTTAATTCATTTGTAGTATTAGGATGTAGAAGTAAAGTGAACTTCAGCCTGTGATCTGTGGGGGCTCTTGGATTTCTGCTGAAGAGTCTGAAAATTTAATCAAGAAAAGCAAGCTTATTTTCAGTAGACAGACTTTGATGGTACTGTATCTCACTTTGGAGTACTTCTAGCAGTCTACAAAGTGAAGGAGGTGGAAAACCTCAATGTAGGTGGATACTTAAAGGTATAAATGTTGTATAATAATGATGTGAACTAGTAATAAGCTCAAGGAAAAACAGAAAAATCTTTTATGATACTCAGTCCAATTTCAAAGCAAGAATAAAGAAAGTGCAGGCAGGCTATGGTAGGCTTCTGTCAAACTGCTAAAGCCTGTGGCAGGATCTGCTTAGTTCTTCATATCAATGAAGTTTCAGGAGTCCTCAGGGATCATTATTGCAGAGGAGGAGAAAATGGAATAGTGTATTCTCCATGTATACTCTGCAAACAGATTGTAAAAAAAAACCACACAACCCATGATTCTGCAACATTCAGGAAGCCCTTTTTCTGATGAATGAGGAGATCTAATGCCTTTTATAGGCACATCGTCCTAACAGAAGCAGCACTGCAAAAAGGATAGAAGAGAAGAAGATTCTCTGGCACTGCATTGTATATATTTACACACTTGTGCAAAGCTGAATGCCAAGTGGAATATAAGAAGTGATAGCAAGTCAGAACAATAATTTTATCCTAGTCTTGACATCTTCTGAAGTGAAGATGGCTATATAGTAGACTAGAAGGGCTTATTTGTCCAAAAGTTTGTTTAATTTCACCCAAATTTACCTGTTGGGATAGTACCTCTCCCTGACAACCTTTTCTTCTTTGTGTGGTAGAAGGTAGCAGAGAAGCAAACTCTTGTGTAGCTTTCTATCAATATATCAGTCTTATTTCACCACACACAAATAGATTCTTTAATCAGGGAAGTTTCATCTGTCAATCACATGCCACTGCCAGTGATTACCAAGTGTTGCACTTACTAAAGGATGGGAAAGTATCTAAAAGCAGGTGGCAGAGAAACAGTGTTACGCTGGCTCATGCTGTCAAATTATCATTAAAATATCATCGCATTATCTATCAAACAACTTACAGTTTCAGGGTTTTAAATAAATGTCTTTACGTGATTAATAAGGACATTAAAATAGCAGAATATAGCTATTCCTTGTGAAGTTTGGCTCATCTGAATGAGCTAATCATATTGGGTCTTTTTGTACTGAATGAAGAGAAAAAGACCTTTTCAGAATTGCACAGTTCATCCAATCTATTTGAGGTATTTACTTTAGGATGAGATTAATCACACCCCGTAAGTAACTATTAACTCGAGAAGATGGACAACTAGTTTAGATATGGCTAGTTATACAATCGATGCTGAGATCTAGTTAAAATGAATGCTACCCCTTTCATCTGGAAACTGAGCATGTTTACTTGTTTCTTTTTTGTCAACAAAGTAAAATTGCAGCGGTGTGCAAATATTCACATAGACACAATCTTTTAGCAAGGGAATGATGATAAATATCTGTAATCCATTTGTACTGCGTGTGATTACGCATACTCCTGACACATAGGCTACACCTCTGTTAGTAAAATAAACATTGTCAGGGCATGAGTATGAGTGTGGGAAAGTGATTGTCTAGACTGCTGAAGAGTAAATGCTAGCATGCTTCTAGCTTGAGTTGCCTAGCACTCTCCCAAACAGCCTCAGGTGTAATGTAGTAGAGACAGTGCAAGCTGAATTCCCAGGAAGTGGCTTGGGGACAGCCATGCTGTTTTGAAGGGTGACTGAGTTTAAGAGTGCATGGCTGTGGTCAGAGCTTTCTCATTGGTCTTGGGGCTTGACGTTTCTTAAGATATTAGCACAGATAGAGATGCAGTTTCTATGTGATAGTAGAGTATTCCTTTTTGTGTGGGAGTCCTTTTCCCTAAGTGTAGATACTTAAAATTCTGAGCCACTATAGCCTACTATATAAAGAATGAACCTAGTCTTAGTTTACAGTAAAGGCAGAAAGTAAGTATTTCCAGAAGCTGATTGAACTGACTGATCTGGCTACCTATCTAAATAAGTGTTAGGTTGGTTTTTGGAGATTCATATTTCTCTACTGACTATGAAAGTAGCCTAACTAGTTCAAATTTATCCATCTAATTTTAAGAAGCCTGAGTTATAACAAGTAAATCCCAACCTTTGTGCCTGATTTATGAACAAAATAAAAGCATTTTATGTTTTCAGAGGACTCAGTAGTTGGACAGCTTTAGCATCTGACAAGGAAGAAAAGCAAGGTATTAGACTCCTTGTCATGTTTTCAGCTGAGGCTGATCTTCTTAGTCTCAGGAGAAAGGCAACAAGAAATATATTATACCAACTTTAGTCTGTGCATTTGTAAAATAGCAAAAGGTTGTCTATGAATATATTATTTACCGTAAAGAAGTCTGATTCTTTCCTAATCAGTGAAGGACCTCACAGAATCATAGAATGGTTCCGGTTGCAAAGGACCTTAAATATCACCTACTTCCAACCCCCTGCCCCACCATGGGCAGGGATACCTTCCACTAGACCAGGTTGCTCAAAGCCTCAGCCAGCCTGCTCTTGAACACTTCCAAGGAGGGGCCATCTGCAACTTCTTTGGGCAACCTCTTGTAGAGAATGAGCTGAAAACAGCAAACTGAAGGGAAGACCAGCAACCTGATTCAGAATGACTTTATGAAGCTGTTCAACAAAATAAGGACAGCAAAACAGAAACCATTTGTAGAGTCGGAATCCTTGGGCTGGGGACATGACAGTAATAAAGGATGAGTCCTCAATGAAGAAGAATCTGGAGTTGACAAAGAAGAATTTGGAACCACTCTTTATACTGCTCCAAGAACTGAACCTCAAAAAAAAAGGAGAGATTTAGATTGCATCTTTACATTTTAGCAATGCTATATGGAGAAAATGCAGAGAGGAAAGGGTAAAATATGGGAAGAGCTGTAGCTGCTCAGAGTAGAACTGCTTATTCCAAGGAGCAGAGAGGGAGCTATTTATCCCATTCAGCTTGTTGATAGGCCAAAAAGTGGAATACCAATTGAAAAGGAGTGTATGACTATTTCTTCATTTTCAGCAGAGAAGAAACTGAAGCCATGCTATCTTGGCGCTAGCATGGATGAATTAATCTTTACATTTTCTTCCTGAGTTCCCACTATGGTCTGCTGGCTTCGTTATGGAAATTAGATGAGGAGGTGAAGCTACCACCTAGTGCCAAATGCAGGGTTGATACTGCTTCCTTTCCTCTGAATAAAAAAGAATGAGAGAATAGAAGTGGTATAAATTAATAAAATGCTCACTAATCTATTTTGTGGCAATGTGGATAATATGTTTTCTTCAAGAAACTAATACCGTAATCAAATATCAAATGAATAATTAGTTCTTGGTGTTTCAGTTTCTGGTTTATCCAAATTATATATGATTTATCTTTGGTCACCGTGGACACATCTAATGCAATTGAATCATGAGACTGTAATTTGCATCAGGATCAGATAAATTGCATTATATTTTCTTTGATATTTTATATCTCTGTGTCTTTTTTTCTTCTTTTCTCTTCCCATTTCTGTTTGCAGGTTTTGACCTAGTGAAGTGTGAGGATCCTGGCATACCAAATTATGGCTACAAGATCCAAGATGAAGGACATTTTATAGACACCGTCATTTTATACAGCTGTAATCCTGGCTACACTATGCATGGCAGTAGTATTATGACCTGCTTAAGTGGAGATCGAAGAGTTTGGGACAAACCCTTGCCTACTTGCATAGGTAATATGGATTGTGACAATGAAATATCTTTGTCTGCTTCTTTCTATGGAGCAGCCTTTGCTGAAAGACTGCTGCTTTGGTTCTGATGATGTCCTGGGTCATTGAGTATGATATGCTATCTCAGGCAGTGGTGTCTTCTAAAGACTTCACAAGCTAAGTAAGCCCCATCATAAAGGAAATTAAGATTTTTTTATATCTTATCTGTTTTCATCAGAAATTGTTTCAGCATCTTATTCCTATAAGCTAATTTCTAATTTTCATCCCGAGTTGGTGGATTGTTTTATTGTGTGCTTCTGAGTCATTGCCATCCTAGGATGCCCCATCTGTCAGAGCCTTGAAGTAGACATTTTCTTTAAATATTACATCTTCAAGTGTCTAAAGCTGTGGTTCGTTACAACCAACATAAATGTTAAATGGAGAAGTACTAGGAGAGATGCATAAAATAACTGAACACCAATATAGCTGTTGCCCATCGTATGTTTGCTCAGCAGTTTCTCTCCTCCTAGTTTTGCTTTCCAGTCCAACAAATACCAGTGACTTCCTGAGTTCAAGTTTCATAATGAGTTTCCATGAGTCCTTGGGAAAGCCTTTCTTTCTATGTGTCTTCTGATGCTTAGTTTTTGCCCCTGCTGCCTGCTGCAGGCAGGCCACCAACCGCTGTCAGCACTCACCTGACCTGACGGATCTTTGCTTGTTGCCTCTCTCCCATACTGGGTGCTACATTCTCCACTCCAGGAGCTGCTTCCTGTTGAGCACATTCACAGAGCTGTAGTCTACAAAGGAGCATGCTCCCTTCTTTTCAAAAGTTTGCTTTACCCGGAGGAGAAGTGCCAGAAACATATCAATGAACAGCATTTCTACTGTCTTGGTAGAGGTGGTTTTTTTCCCTGGTTGGTTATAGAGTTATGTCTGCAAGTTTTCTCTTAGATATATGACAGGTCAAAACAACTCTTTCAAGTTTTGCTTTAAAGACATTTCCAGGCTTTCATACATTCAGGTCTTCAAGATCTTCAGTTTAATTGTCTAGCATCTTTTTCCTGTAAGTTTGCCCTTTTGTAAAGAAGAGCCATTATTACTCCTACCTTTTCCTATCTCCCTATTTAATTTAAATGAAGTCATTACTCTAAGGTCATTTTCTGTAATATTTTCCTGTGCCTGTGTTTACCACCAAGTATTTGAATCAATTCTAAAATTCTTGTTGATTCCAAGTCTTACTAGGTGAATAAATCCATCTGTCCACCTATTCCTGTTTCTTAGTATGCTGATTTGTCCTCTGTATGTGGGGTGTTAAAATCTCAACCATACACTATTTAAAAAAAAAATAAAACAAAAATAGTTCATATTCCAATCTGACCTGAAGGAAGATAGGGAACCCGGGATCAAATGAATCTTAAGAAAATTCTCATCTTTGCTCCTGTAGAACATCTTTCATAACCCTTCTCCAAAATATTTTTGACCAATATGTATGTTTTTGCATGCTGAATTTGTTTAGTTTACTGTATCACTACTATGTAATGCTCTCTCCACTCCCATATCTCTACCTGTATTTCCAGTTTTATTGATAACAGTATACATTCAGGCTTCTGTATTCCACCTAAGATTGATACTTTATCCTTTTTTTTGTTTTTTCCATTATACTTTGATTTTGTACCTTGCATTACTAGATTTGGTTTCTGTACTTTGTTGCTAACCTTTTGGAATCACTTGTACCAAAATCTCTCATTTCTTCAGGATCTCACTTCATCTCTAAGTTGAATTATGTCCTTATATCAATAGAATAGTCAATTTTCTTTCAGTATCCTGAGACAGATTTTGTTCTTGCTTTCTGTCTGTTCAACCACAATGCTATCTTTCTTTACACATCTTTTTATTTGCTTTCCTTGTTCCTATCTTTAAAATAAAATTTGGGGATTGCATCAGTTTTGTAAAACTCCTTCTGCTTTTTCCTCAATTTAAAACTCTTCTGAAACATTAATTAGCTCCCCAAGAAGTCAAATGTTCACCATTCTCTCTGAAAATCTTCTGAAGGTGATTATTTCTAAACAGCCTTTCACAAACAGTCTGTCACCCTCGTTAAATTGTTATGTTTTTTCTGCTGTCCTGTGCATAGGAAAACTTGTCCTGAAGATCCCTGAAAACTCAGTTAAGTATCTGCAGATCATTTCATGCTCTCTTATTTTCCCCCTCCAGTGTTATTTATACAATCTTTTCTTTCTTCAGTTTTGTCTTATGCTATCACAGTTTTATCTCTTCCAACTCTGATCTGACTGGCTTCCTTTTCTTCCTTTGTCTAAAGTTGTGATGAACTTCCAAAGATCACTTTCTTTCTTAGACATATTTTCTTAATATCCTCCTGTTTGTGGAAACCAATTATTTGATCAATTGTTTTTTAGATTAGCATTTGATATTTCCTGTTGTCTTCAGTGATATTTACATTCACTATTGTCTTTACAGTCATTTCAATCTCATTCACAAAAAATTTCAAGCCCAGACATAGGCACATTCCACATATTCTACACCTAGTCATATTCAGCAACACACTGCTGTATTGATCTTAGCTTTTTCATTTTTTCTGTGTTCTAAGCCTTAGTGAAGAAAACCAGTGAATTCCTGTAATTCCTACTCTAGAAGATTATAGAATTTGTTTGAATATAAGTTGCTTCTAGTAATTATATTATAGTTATTTATTTTGTATAATGTATTCTTTGAGGTGATGATTTTACAGTGTGCTCATTTCTGCATGTTGAAAAACAAACTTCTTGGATTATTTTTTTATAATCACTTTTGAAATTTTACTTTTGATCTTCTCCTAAAATGGATATTTAAAAAAAAAATATATATGAACTATATAATGCATCATCCCAAATTTTATCATGTATTCTGTGTCTAAAAGAGTATACTCAGAATTCTGAAGCAAATCTGTCATTTAGTTTCAGTTTAAAGAATTTTAGTTTCACTGAGTTATCCTGAGTTCTTTGGCAAATACAGTACTCTGTCAGTCATTTCCTTGTCTGTGGTTATCTATCACAGTGATTATTGCATTCTGAACTTTCTTGTTTAATGAAAATTAACTGAAAAGTTAGGCAAAGTTTATGTTTGAAGAAATTATGTACTAAAGCAGCTATCTGCTGGGGTTCTATAAAGAATATGTGGTGTTTTGGGGGATCATGCTAGCAGGATAGGTAAGTAAATCGGTCACCTTATTTCCTCTACATTTGTTTTCCCTCCTGGTAACAATTCGGTTGTCAGCAGTGGCTTGTCAACATGTATAAGACTTATTATTTGTTAGGAGTGCTGCTGATGGATTACTTGGTCCAGCTGCCATGGTTCATTCATCATCTGTGTCTTACACTATGCTTGCTGTACCATTGTGCTTGAATAGTTCCCCGTGGTAGCATTTTTAATACCACTACTTGTAAGGCAACACTGTAAATGAAGTAGGAATTCAGGTGCATCACTTAACTGAAGAGTTACAGATCCTTTTTGGTTCAGTGGCACCTGATAGTTACACAGTTCCAGTTTCATCAGGGTGCGTTTATACTGGCCGGACAACAGCATGATGCTCTAAACACTGATTTGATTCTGGATTCTTAGCACTGAAATTGGTCTCTTCACAAAGTTAAGATAGCATTGATAACAAAAATGTTTTAAACTAACACGACATACTTTTAAATTTCTAATTTACTCTCTTATTTTGTGGACATATGGCATTTAAATTTTTAAATACTAGAGGAAATTTCTAGGCAGTACTTAACTGCTTTTTGACATAATTAAACTTGAAGTTATATAGAAGTACCTCAAAAGTATTAAACTAAAATAATTTTGACAGTAAAACAACAGAGAAAGTGATTTTAACTACAAAACCTTAGGCTGTAATGTCTGAATTTGAACATTCAGTGTTAGAAAAATCAAAGATATTAGATGGGATATTTCTGAAGAATTTTTGCTCTCTTGCTGATGCTGAAATTGTGCTTTTGTAGTCTCTGTTCATATTGAACTACTGTTGTTGGTAAAATAAAATAATCACAGAAGTATGGTTTATTGCTTTATAACAAGGTAGGAATGAGATCATTATATGTGCATTTTTAACTCATGTGCATGTCCTGGTTTGTATATATGTATACTAGCTCAGAGATATTGGGTTGTTCTGTTACCTTTTTAGAAGACAGACAGATGTGGAATGGCCAGAAAATAGAAGTGAAAAATATTATGATCCTGTTAAAAATAAATGTAATCCTTATTTATTTTGTAGCTGAGTGTGGTGGTCGAATTCACGCTGCTACATCGGGGCGCATTTTGTCCCCTGGTTACCCAGCACCGTATGACAACAATCTTCATTGCACTTGGATTATCGAAGCAGATCCAGGAAAGACAATAAGGTACATGCTTAATTTGAATATTTATTGCTGACTTCAGTGTTTTATAAATTGTAGTCTATGCCTTAAATTCTCACACTCTTCTACACAATTTTTTGTTTATTAACTCCTTATTTACATTAATAAAATCGATGCTTGTCTTGCTGCTATTTATGAGTGCCATTCCTCTAGGGAACCTGGGTATCTAAATTCTGTAGGGGACACCTAGGCATCTAATTCAGATCTGTGATTTCCATTAGATAATATGGCCTATAAATCTTCAGTGTGGTAGAGTGGTGCACTGCTATGCCTTTTTCTAGTTGTAAACAAGTTAAAGTGCCAAGCCGTCAACTGTGCTTCCAAACTTTTTCCCTTGAGTCATTGTAATGCCGTTCTTTTATATTTTACTGTCACATTCGTGTAATAATTTGTTTTAAATTGAATATAATTACTCAATACAATTTCTTAAATACATTACCTCAAGCAGCTGGAAAGTTCCTGATTCTCTGCTGGGAGTGCTCAGACATTGGGCATCTTGGACCCTATTGGGGTATCTATTAGGAACTGTCTTTTTGTCATGAGTGCTTTGATCTGATGAGGATTTGTCAATTAACAGCAGCAGCAAGGAAGATTAATGTTATAAAGCTTTATATACAACTCTGAAGGTTTTCGTTTTCTATTCGTTCTCTCTTCTGTCATATCATTATTAACATATACATAATTTTGAATTATTGTAAGTATTAGATTATTTCCAGTAATCAGTTGAATAATCAGATGTTGAGAATAATCAATTTTGAGAAAAGTGATGAGATTTTATTAAGAATTGCACACAGGACTGAGAGAATACTTAATAGATAAAGACAGGAAGATTTCTCCACATAGGGTAGGCAACATAACAGAAAAAGGAAGAAATTAGAAGAATACAGAAGATGAGGGAAAAACAACTGGTGACTAATGCACAAAATCAGGGTACATGCCAAGAACTGAATGTTGGAATTTAGAGCTCGATTTCTATATTGATTTATTGAGAGACTATAGAAGGATTAAAGAGCTCAGGCAGAAGGAAATTAGTAATACAAGGAGAACTTTTAAAACAGTTTTTCCTTATAAGTTTGACATACTAACAAGAAGGACTATCATACTTTGCTGTTGATGTGTAGCGAAATCACTCAGGTGGAAGGAATACCAGTATTTAAAGACTCTTTTAGCTCAGTTTTGCTGTGGCAACACACAGATTCAAAAACTTTGAAGAGGCAAATTCTGTTCAATATTCAAGCTAGTTTGTCCACTCCTAACAGGAAGTTGCTGTGAAAGCAATTTAATTTCTAATCAAGATAGATAATCTTAATTTGTCATTTTAAATTAATTTATTGATGCTAATGTGTTTAATGATATGCAACAGAGATTAGTTTTATACTCCAGTGACATAAGTATGTGATTTCCAGTAAATGTGTTATGTCAGAATGTTCACTATTTATTTATTTCAAGCAAAAAGTTAGCAAATAGTAAGCTGTTTCATTATTCAGTTTATGTGGACAATAGTTTTAACTGATCACTTAAATGAATAATATTATTCCTAAAATTAAACAGACAAAACAATATAAGCAAATGGCAAGTTATTCACTGTGAGGTTTTTTTCCTTTTTTATTTTTAGTAATCCTGTTTCACTAAGTCAAATAATGAATTCACTCCGTCATAAGTGATTTCAATGCATCATTTACATTTAAATGACAATTTTCAGATTAATGATTTCCAGTTAATGACAAATGTAAAGAAGAAATATCAACACACAACGATTTGAAACAAAAAAGAAGTTTTGATATTTAGCTAGTAGATTTCTTCAGTGTTAAAAATGTGAACAGTCAGAACTTGGAAGTCTATGCACATATTTTGACAAATAACAGAACATTCTTGAACACCTTTCTAAATCTAACACTTCGCCTGGAGACAAGTGCAGATTATTGTAATGTTTTTTTTTTTTTTTTAATTTTGGCATAAGGCAAAGGTAGGATAACACATTTTCTGTTTTTGTATAGAAAACAAAATGCCACGCTGACAGAATTTCGTATGCTATGTATGCTACCATGCAGTAGCTACTGCTCATTTTTAGTTGCACATAAGACGATTAATGTTCTTGATATGCTTGTCTGTATAAAGAGAGGAAATCTTTGGTGAAATCATAGTTCTTATCCTGTAAAAAAATCTGTCATAAAGAAAAGTTAATTTTTAGAAAAAGTACTATATGCCCCATAATCGTGTTTTCTATAATTGAGGCATTTATGCAATAGAATAGCATTTCTCTTACAAGATCAGCTGATCCAACAGGAAAAACAGATAACCCTGCAGGAGCACCAGCCCTTCTTTAGTCCTAAACAGCATCTCAAAACTAAGTACAGTTTGGGAATGATTTGTTATAGAGATTTTTATGTTTGTATTTCCTGAATACAGTGCTTTTACTTTCTCTTTGCAGTCTGCATTTTATTGTTTTTGACACTGAAGTTGCTCATGACATCTTGAAGGTATGGGATGGGCCTATTGAGAGCAACATATTTCTGAAAGAATGGAGTGGCTCAGCCCTTCCAGAGGATATCCACAGCACTTTCAACTCATTAACATTACAGTTTGACAGTGACTTCTTCATCAGCAAATCAGGCTTCTCCATTCAGTTTTCAAGTACGTAAATATTTTTTCATCTCAAATACAATAGTTATATACACTATTTATATACATTATTCTTATATATATGAACTGTTTCTCATCTTACAACTTCCTCAGTCTTTAAAACAGAAGATATTATATTATTTTATATATTTATGCAAATAACTACAACTAGGGTGAATTTTTGAATTAGTTTTAAATTCCTGGATTTGTAGAGCAACCACATGCCTAGCATTATCTGATTAGCATTATTTAACAAGTCAAAAAGTTCTTGTACATACATAAGTTTTCTTCTGCACTGATAGTTTTAAATGTTCGCACCAGTGCTACCTAATAATGTATTATTTTGTGTTTATAATTTGAGTTGTTTGGGGTTTTTTTTCTCAAAACATTGGTTGCATGATGCTTCATTTTTGTGACCTTAACTACTGTTTGCGTACATGATTAAACTGGAGAATAAAATATAACTTTCCATATTGAAATGCATTCAAAAATTTACTATCAAACTAACCAAATTCATCTTCAAATCTGAAGTGAAAACTCCTCTGTATGTAGAGGAGCTGTGATCGATACTGTAAAAATTAGTATGTGGAGGTTTTCTGTGATATTATAACTGAAGTGTTAAAGACTGATGGTGGGACTGAAGGGAGATTATGTCATTGTCTTTGACCCAGTGGTTACATCCTTATATGTCTAGATAAAATGTATGTAAGTGTATTTCTGCTCAGGAACATAGGAAAATTATTAATTAATAAAATGTGTAAGAGTAGGAGTATTATTTAAAACCTTCTCTTTAGGTGCTGTCATTCAGAAGTAAAGGACACTAATAAGCTTTCAGTCATTATTATATGTATGAGGAAATATACTTTGGGGAATTCTTGGTCTCTAAATAATGCATTTTATATTTACTTGCTTATGTAGTTTTGCTTGATTTTTTTTCTAAAAGTTGTACCCGTAAACCACAGGCTCTTTCATCATTTTTCTAAATGTTGTATCCCCAAACCACAGGCTCTTTCATCAGCCCTAAGATACATACTTAAAAGTACACAAAAATAATTTAAGACAAAGAGCAGAATAAATGTTTCTAAAATTTCTGACCAGTGTGCTATACAATATGCTGCTTTTCATGTTGTTTGAAAAAACTTAAATTTTATATTTACATTTATGGAAAAGAGGGGTGTTTTACTTTGTTAGGGTTAGCAAACACGTTTTATGTTGTATTATCTGAAAACATTAATAAGTTTATGTACAAATTTTGAAAGGAAGAAAATATTTAAGCAGTTAGATTTGTCAGCACATTCTTTGACCTTCAGTTATACTTACAGTAAGTAGGAGACAATTTAATGGTGAAGTCTGAAGAACTGATTATGTCCTCTTAGTATAATATGTGATGTATGCATTCAGTGATCATGCTGGCTACTGCAGTGTATGTCTTACTGGAATTAGTTGGAATTAGTGGTGAAGAACTGAACACCTTAACTCAAACAGAGGGAAAACGATATTAAAGTTTCATTCACCCAGCTTGACAAGTGGAATGTTTTATTAATTTTTTAATTGTAAGAAATCAAAAATATGATTTAAGGAATATGTTAAAATAAATGGTAAATTATTTCATCTAAAATCAGGGCTTAGTTTATTTAGTCTCCTTGAGGCAATGGGCAGACCACTGTGGTCTTGATCTGTAACGGATTTAAACTAATTAATCTATGGCTGAGTGAGGATCTTTGCATGCGTTAGTATTCATCATGTGTTCAAATTGTAGGCCAGTTTATAGCAAAGCTGCACAGAATATTGAGATTTCACTACTTTAGCAGTTTGTAACTCAATGAATGAAAGAGTCTTGAGTTACTTAAACATTTTCTGGTAATTGCAGAAGATGTAGATAATTTATTACAAGATCTACACAGGCAACTGCTGAAGCTTTGTGTCTTTGTGTCACTTAAAGTATTTTCCAGTGTTGAATTATTAATGAGCATATTTTATTTAAATATTAATTACAAACCAAGAAGTAAACTTCAGATGCAGAATTGCACAGGATTGGAAAACATTCAATAATCTGGACTTCTTACACATGCAGCTTCTGTATTGGACTAGGCAATTGGGGTGAGTGTCTACATCAATGAACATCCACTTATGGGATCATACAAAGGATATACATCTGAGAGTATCAGGTCAAATGAACACCTTAAAGACAAAGCATTAAAATGCTACTAGACTAGCACTTCAGCTAGAGAATTTGTCTGATTGTGCTGCTAATGCGCTGGTTCTTTCTACACTTCACACTCTAGAATGCCTGTACTGCGTCTGTCTAAAAAAGAGATGTTATGAAAGGATAGTATGAGGTAAATCAGAAAATATCACCTGTAAATTACTTGCTGTTGATTGTAAATGTAATTAAAGGTATTTTTAATGGAAAAATAAAAGTGGCTAAAGCTTACAAAGTGTTTGAACGCTATTAAAAGTACCGTGTCTTGCCCACTCAGCTCAGCATGTAGAGCATGAGGACACGAACCTACAAGAGTGATTATGTTAAATGTAATCATTCTAATGCTTTTCATTAAAACTTAATTAGCATTTAATCATGCATAAAAGGACAAAAAATTGAGTTCACTGTACAAAATTGACCTTTACTCTGGGGGTTAAATACATTTAAACTAGGTATTACAAGCCAGGGACGTCAACCAACTCGTTTTGGTCATGATGCAAAAGTGAACACAAGAAGTATATAGGCAGATTAGGTATTTGGCTTCTTTATTCCAAAGAAACTGACTTACTGGCAGCAAAACCTTCCTGCCTAAGTTAAACACAAAAAAAGGAGTTTTCTAACCTATCTTAATTCTGTCCTATATGTATAATGTATATAGGATAAATTTCCCTCTGAAGTTGCCTTTTTCTTTTTAGCAGCTATAGGTATAGATATACTAACACACACTAAACCTGAAACTTTTTGACATCTAAAGGCAGATGAAATTAATCCTACCCATCTTTTCACAGGTGTCTGGTTCTGTTTGAGATGCCCTAAGGCATGATGGTTAGTCTCCATCTGCCACTCCAGCAGGTCACACACCCATATGTCCTTGGTCGTATCACAGAATCATAGAATGGTTTGGGTTGGAAGGGACCTTACAGATCATCTAGTTCCAACCCCCTG